ATGGCTATGATTTGTTGGGGGCTGTGGCAAAACGCCAGAGTTTTTCTGATTTCCAGGTCCTTCTACTCAGAGATCCCTCTCCTCCCATAACCCCCTCCAACCCACCTTGTTACTTTTTTGATGCCTCCCTTTCTGCTTACTCAGGCAGTGGCTACAGAGAGAGTAATAGCTGGACCAAGCTCAAGATCAGGGCGGGGGGGGGGGAAGGGAGGCGAATCTGTTTGCACAGGATAGCTCCATTTCCTCCAGGCCTATTTATAGCTGACTGTACATCAAAAGGGTCTGGACAGACGAGGACTTCCTGACGGGGGTTGTATCAGCTGCTGGGTGCCCTCGCGTCACCTTCTCCTTCCTCTCCACCCCACCCCCACCCCCGCTTTTACCGTAACTAAACAGGCTGTGCTGGGCCAGGCGCAGGCCGCCAACCCATCCTGTTGCAGTACAGTGGCAACAGAATAAAGGGGCAGCCACAGACAAAGCTTTTCCCACTAGTATTTTCTGCTCGTAGCCTGGAAAGCTGTTGGGACTGAGATGGTGGGGCTCACACGGGAACATTTCCTGGTGGATCCATGCCCCATGGTAATCGGTGGCCTTGATTGTCGGCATTTGAGCCTCAGACGTAAAAATGCGGTGGGTTGGCCTTGAGTGGAGGATCATGGGTGGTTCTAACCAAGACCGAGGCGTGTTCATTCCTGAGACCAAAAAAAGCAAAATTCTCCTCTCATTCCCCACCCTGCTGAATTTGAGTGGGGCATCCTTGCTCTTGATGCTGACTCGTTCCACCACAGCCCATCTCTGGCCATGTCATGTGCAGAAGATGGTGGCCGTGGAAGGATATTAAAGAAACAGCAGTCTGTTTTCTGACATTGCCAACTTGGTTTGCATGTGAGGTTTGGAAAGAAGAGGCGCCTGCTGGGTGAAAGTGGTGGTGACAGAGTTGGCAGAGTCAACTGTTCTTGGCAGAGTCTTGGTCACATCCTTTCATAAGCCTTGGTTTTTGTTTCCAGTGGGCAAGGAGGCTGGCTGAGGAAGGCATGCTCAGGGATCAGGCACATACTGATTAAACTTAAGAAGCATATCCCAAGCCCTGTAATTGTCTTTTGCTTCTTGAGGAATCTTTTTAAGGTAAAGGAAGAGAGCAGAGGAAGTGGGAAAGAAATGCAAGAAGGGGTACAGAGGGAAGACAATGACATTGAGACCCATCACTGGGATGAATCACTGTTGTTCAGCATTTCTTCTCTAGGTAGGGGCACAGCTGGGCAATCAACCAAAGTGGATGAAAGGCACCATTGGCCACAGCAGATATCTGTGCTTCCATAGAGAGAGCTAGGTCCAAGGGTGCACCCAAGCTGCAAACCTGATCCATCAGCACTAGGGTAACCCCATCAAGGTCAAGTACCTGTAAACCCATCAAGGACCTATACCGCATCATCTGCAGATGATGAAAAGGAGAGAACTATGGGTCTTCTGTATATTGATGACAATGAACTCCAAAGCTCTGTATGGTTCTCCTGGCAGCTTCATGTGGATATTGAAAAGCATTGGAAAACAGTCAATCCCGGATAACAGAAGCCCCAAGAGGTCCCCAAGCGGAACCATCTGAGATTGGCCCTAGAGGAAGCACTGGAACCACCAAAGAACAGAGGCCCCAAGTCCTGAACACAATAGCTATCTCAGTGGGATACCATGGTCCATGGTCTCAAAGGTTGCAGAAAAATCCAGGACTAGCAGAGTCACATTCCCTCCCCCCCCCCATCTGCTTCCCTCAGAAAATTGTCTTGCAGGGTGACTAATGCTGTTTCAGCTCCATGGTGCAACCTAAACCTTGACTGAAATGGATCTAGGCGAGCCATTTCCTCCAAAAGCACCTACAGCTGGTTGGCAAACACCCTCTTGATCAATTTGCCTAAGAATGAAATATTAGCAATGAGCCTATTGTTACTGAAATCATCTGTTGCTACATTTGGTTTCTTTGGAATGGATCTTATCATGGTCTCCTTTAAGTTGAAAGACCCATTAATGGTGTGTGTAGCTCGCTCATTCCCTGGTTGAATCCCTTGCTGGTCTTGAGTCAGGAGGAGATTGAGACAGGAGGAGGTACCTGCCTTTGCCACGTGCAAGTGCCTTGTTTACATCCTCAGGCCATACCAATGGAAACTGATCCAATTCCGGAAACTGCCTAGCCCTAGACAGTGATTTGGCTATCTCCTTCAGATCTACTGGTATCAACAAGGAATCAAGACCCCTGTTGCCTGCCCCATTTTAGACACTGGGCTCCTGTAGCTCATAATCAAAAGGTCCAGTTTGATTAGTTTTTCTTTCCTTAATGGACTTCCTCTGGTAAGAAATAACAAGGAAGACGTGGGAGAGACAACAGCTGGAGGCAGTGACATCTGAATCTCCCCTAAACTTTCATGAATAAGACAGTGTGATGGCCTAGTAAATGCTGGGATTTGGCAAACTTTGCATGCTGCCTTTAGGAGGTCTTGGCTGGGAGGGACCTTTTCCAGACCAGAGTGAATGTCAATCAATCCAGCAGCAACCAATTGTTCCCTCTCTGACTCAGTTTGAAGAGAGCCGCCCCTCTCTGCCTAAGAGTCCTTTTTCCCACTCTTTTTCAGTTAGTACTCAGTGTCAGCTATGAAGTCAGTCAGAGTCACAATTCTGTTAGCAATGGAGTGAATCAGCCATGAAGCTAGTTAAATCAGTTAAACTCTGTTCATGCAAACAGCCTTTATTTTTCTACAAAATGCTGGATTTTTATCTATTCAGAACTGTGAGTAAATAGAACTTTTTAGTCTTTCTCTTCCCAGTGTCTCAGAATGAGTTATCGAGACTGTTGGCGCCAGTTGAGGAGAACTAACAATAAGAGGTGGTATACTTTGGGGAAACTTGACAGCTGCAGGCAATCATGTCTGGACTTTCTATAAACTTACATAAGGCAGTGTGATAGCCTTAGTCTTTAATCAACACTTTCATTTTAAATGACTGGTCTGTCATCTGGTTTCTCAGTATAGTTTCAGCCTTAGAGGAACTGGCTACCTCTGCAGAGTTCTACGCTATCTTCTCTTCTGGCATAGAAACCATGTGAAACCCTCGAAGGCAGTGCCAACGTAGCATAAACCTGGCAGCCTCTCCCAGTATGGCCTTCAAAGTACGGCCCCAGAAATGAATTGTGTGTCTGAAGAGCCTAACATCAAGGCTCATTGGCAGAAGGATTTTTTTGGGGTGTGTGTGTGTGTGTCAATGTATTGTCCACTGCAACTGTGCATGGAATAACTGCCATCTCTTATCTGTGATGGGACAACCTGCACCAATCCAGTAGCACATCTTCAAGGAAACAAGTCTTCAAGTGTTACTTCGATCAAAACGGCTCGAACCTCCACTCACTGACACCTCCACCAGGAAGAATGGAGTTTCAAGGGGGGTTCTCTCAGGCTTCCACCAGACCTCCTTGACCCATGTGTTAGCATGTATCTGTGCATGTCCTGTCTCCTAGTCCTTCCTTCTTATGCACGCATGTGTTTACGTTCCACCTCTAACCTCCCACACACCTACAGGCAGGGGTGGGGGCACACGGGCCTCTTGAGTTAAATATTGGCTCTGACATGACTCAGAACAGGTGGGATCACCCTCACCACTCCTTCCTATAATCCCTTAATTGCTCATGAAGTCTGGACTTGCTGACAAAGTGCATGGGATGGTTTGCGGGGGCAGCAATGCAGATGGCTTCAGGTGTGCACAGGCAGTATTGAGCTCGGTGGATCACCCTATCATGCCTTTTAGCTCATGATGGCACCAGAGTGTGAAGTGGAGCCATTCGTCATGTTTCAAAGCTCAGCAGGAAGAAGAATCTTGCTCCTTACCTGGATAATGGCTGCCGACTGGGGTTTTCCATTTGGCTAGAAGAAAGGAGAGGATGGGATTTGGCCTGTTTAACTGCAACCTGACTTGCAGAAAGGAGTGGATTGAAGCTCTCCCTGACAAGAGGATGGGTGTTGATGAAGCCGCTTTTTTATTGCCATTGCTGCAAAAACAGACATATATGTTGACAGCATTTTGGGTTCTTTCCCTCTTGTGTTTTAACAAACTAGTTAGCATCCAATGAGCATTGGTCTTTCTAAGTTCTTCCAGCAGTTCTCTCCACTTTGGTGTTGAGAGCCGTATCAGATCTTCCTCAAGGTCCTTCTGTGCCATCCTCTTAAATTAAAAAAGGGAGCTCTCATTTTATAGGAACTGCTAAATCTGCAGAACTCAGCCAGTTGTACTGGCGGCCGCATCATCCTTCTGCCCCTTGCAACCACCCTCACGGGCATAATTCCAGTTTACTCACCACAAACATACAGATCAGAACCCAGCGTGCCTGCTTCCCAGAGGCGCCCCCCCCATTTTGATTCCGTAAACCTGTTGAGTTCTTTTTAATGTGGATGGAATTAAAAAGCCAGAAACCAACAACAGTTTAAGAGCAATTGTTTATTAATGTCTGATGCGGATTTTTTTAACCCCTGCCTTAAAGAAATGCAACACAAAAGCTAATCCAAAAGGATGACCCAGAAATAACACACACACACCCTTTGTAAGGACTGAGAATGAGAACTAGAAAAGGAAAAAATACGGCATGGAAAATGGGGGGAGAGGGTTTGGGGCTGGACGTGTCCGTTGTCCAGTGAGGGAGCTCTTTTATTACGGACGGGCTCTGTTGGTCCCAGTGTTCTTGCTCGGTGGCACATGGGGAGTCCAAGCAGTGCCCTACCACAGGATAGTGGGGAGGGGGGGCAAGAGAGGGTAAGTGATTCGTGCCCACTGCCCATGTTGTCAGAGGGTGCTTGTCAGCAGCCGAGTCCTTGTGAGGCCTGGGCAGGACTCCTGTTCCTGCTGAACTGAGCCAGTTTATTCAAAGCAACTGAGTATCAGCTCAGTAGGCACGGGAGGCTGAGCCCCGTAGAGGCGGCCAGGAGCACCAGATCCTAAAACCCGACCCACCCGCCCACCCACCTCGTCTCTAGGCTCAGTACAAATAAAGATCTAGTATCTCCCCTTTTTAGTACCCTTCCAAATCCCTGGCAAACACATCTGTGCTTCTTCTTTCCTGGCTCTGTTTGCATTCTTAGGACCTCTTCACAGCGAAGGCACAGAGTATGGGGGTCCTGGAGGAGGAGAGAGCAAATCGACCACAAGGGGCGGAACTTAGCCACTGTGAACATGGCTGAACCGAACGCTGTTCACAGGTGGGCTAAGCCCTGCCCCTTGCCGTCTGTAGAAAGCCTTTCCCCACCGATCCCCAATGCCTCTGTGCTGGTTTACCCAGACACACACACATAAACACACACACTCACCTGGTCTGAGGCATGGTGTTGCCCGCGGCAGACCAACAAATGACAGCTTACCTTCAGGTCACCTGAATCAAGATGTGCAGGATCCAAAAACAGTCGTGATATTTTGGCACAAAGGTCCCAGAAGCAACTCTCCCCACATTGAGAGGCACCAAAAAGTGCAATATGAGCTAAATAACAATTGGCTGCATTTTCCTGACAGCCAAAATCTACTGCCTGATGGTAGGGCCGGTCACAAGCATCATCAAGTCCAGGAGCTCTGTGTATGTGTGACAGTGGGGTTGTTGTGTTGGCCACCTTTCTGATGCCAAGATGATCCCGGTCCACTTCAGTGCTCTAGTTCTTGTATCGAGGTGCTGCGTTTACTCACCGACAGTTGGAAATCCCTGGCAATGTGATTCTGAATATCAGGATAAAATCACATCACCAGGAACCCCAGCTGGCAGAAGAAGCAGGGCTTCCAGAGGTCTCCTCTCTGGGCCACTGGCTAGAAGAGAAAAGGAGAGTCACGTTCATGGGGTGAGAGAACAGCAGTACCACCACCTCCTGTGAGCACAACTTTCTTGAGCCCCCCCCCCCCAAAAAAAAGCTATTGGGGCACCAGGCAAGAGTCTGATTCTCAAGTATCCCACCAGAACGCATCCAGAACCCGAGCTATCTGTAGGGACAAGAGAATGAAATCAGCAAGAGGCACAAAAATGATCAGTATGATTCCATATCATGCAAAATAAATTGTCTATCTTAGCATGGTAAGATCTGCAAGTTGGTCACGAGAGACCAATCCAAGCTGATAAAAGAGCAGGGGAAAGTCCTTCAGCATCCATGCTTGGCTCCCTGGTGAGAATACTGGAACAGAGGCATGCCAGCAAACAAATGTTGGACACTTCACATTTTTAGAGGCATGCTTTAAAACCATCACCATCACCATAGGCATGCCAGCAAACAAATGTTGGACACTTTACATTTTTAATGCTTTAAAACCATCACCATCACCATCAGTGGCAGATCTCAGAAATAACACCATCAGAGCTACAAAAAAATGGCAATATTAGGAACATCATACATATTGCACCAATTTTTAACAGATAGTTTTTTTTTGTTAAAACTTGTATCTGTTATATAATAACAGTTATTGTTTTTATTATTCTGATTGACTGTGCCTGGTATTTTCTAACAACAACAATAATAGAAGTAATGGGTTAAAAGTAACATTGTAACAGGGGGCAACAGCATTACTTTTTAACATTTTAACAAGAATAACATAAATGTTAGCAGTTTCTTTTCATTAGAGCTCATGTTTATTCATGATGGCTCAAAGGCATTACTTTTGGGAAGTTATATGGTGGGATATGGGGTGATACTAAAGTTTTTCAGAATATACTCAAAATTTGTTACCAATGAGCAAAGGTGCTTAACTGCTTGTGAGCAATGATGAGCAAATTAGCGAATGTTTCCATGCTTAAAAAAAAAACGACTTTAGGGTTACACTTAAATAACATAATGTAGTGCGAAGTGACTGTCTAGGTTGCAGTACACACCAAGGTGAAAACGACTTTAGGGTTACACTTAAATAACGTAATGTAGTGTGAAGTGACTGTCTAGGTTGCAGTACACATCAAGGTGTGTATTGCTTGTTGTGGATTTTTCGGGCTCTTTGGCCGTGTTCTGAAGGTTGTTCTTCCTAACATTTCGCCAGTCTCTGTGGCCGGCATCTGTGTGTGTATTGTTGCTTTCATTAGCAGGTTTTAGAAACAAAATGAATGACCAGCAGGGGCATCTTCAGAGGACAGCATTCTGTGTATTGTTGCTTTCATTTAGCAGGTTTTAAAAACAAAATGAATGACCAGCGGTAGGTAAGGAGTGTAATGTACTGAATAGAGAAGGGTGTTCAACCATCTTTCTCCCCGCCATGGCCTGCCCATCCAGTAAAAATACCTCTCCTCCAGCTGTTGTCTGAATTGAGAAGGGCACGTGCCAAAATAGATCATGAGGGTGGGGCAGCTTTAGCCAAGACCATCACCCAGGAATATGTATCTATGTCCCCCGGATTGCCCAAACGATCTTGTTCCCGAGGCTTCTGCTCTCCAGTGCCTTTTGTTTGTTTGTTTTGAAAGCAGTTAATTCCAAAAATGCACAATGTGTAAGTTGATGCTTGGTCTCAGCAAGGCATGTTAGAAGTCAGTGACCTGAGCTGCTCCCTAAAAATGTATGAAACAGCACGCCTTCCTGGACGTCACGCTAACCTGTCAACGTGTGCACATGCACACATGCGGATAAACATTGTGTGATTGAGGGAGGTTAAGTCTTCTCTTGTTTGGTTCTCACAGGTCAGAAGAAACATGTCAAATGTTTTCTCCCCACAGTCAACATTTTATGCATTTTTCACACTTGAGGCCTTTCCTCTCCTAAACAAGTGTGTGGAAAAAGATTTTGTACACAAAAACTTGTACACGGTAGGTTTTGTTGTTGTTGTTTTGTTGTTTGCTTTGTCTTTGCAGAACCTTCTCCCCCCCCCCAACCGGGGAATGCTTCGGCTAACAAAAACCTTGCTGGTCTGTACATTTTTGTGCATGGGTGAGAAGCCTCCATTGTGGTTCACAATTTGTTCAGCAGGGCACTTCAATCAAGGACAAGACAACGGGTGAATTTCAATACACGTGTATGAGCGGGCCCTGACTTAAAGTAACTGACAAAGCAGTTTAGGTTTGTTGCAGTCACTATGGATCGCTCTGCAACTGAAAGACTGGAGGCCATACCCTCTGTGCTCAGACAGATGTTGCACAAGGGGGGGGGAGCTCAGTGCAAACTGAACCCCACACTGGCAAGGAAGTAGTTTCTTTGTCCTAAGCAAAACTGATGCCACCCCTTAGAAACCCTGAGAGCACATCCTGGGAAAGTTGCTTTTGCAGATTTCAGCTTCACAATCTGTCTGGCCAGCATAGTTAGGAGCCAGGATGCTGCCTGGGTGATCTCTGGAAACTGCAAAAGCCCCATTTCCAACCTCCTTTCAAGGAGGCCCTTGTCAATCCATCTGCTTTTTGTCTCCCGAACAAAGGTGGAACCAACCCACCACAGAAGATGCCACCTGCAGGTTCTTTAGTGTTGGGCTCTCTCTCCTCAAAGTTTTGGCTTACAGGTGTGAATCGCGTCACAGAATACTGTAGTTACCAATTCACACATTCAGCAAAGAGTTCTCTAAATAAACAAGGAGTGAGAGGTGAAGCAGGACAGGCCCAAGTACAGGCAGGGGAACATGTTCCTGAGATAAATCTGTGTCACTTCATGGTGTCACAAGGATCAGAGTTTTGGAAGCATCTATCTTGTGAATGACCATGCCCAGAATCCCATAGCTAGGACAGCTGCTGACCCGCCATTGTGCCACATAAGTGGGATTTCATTCCTTACACTGCAGAGTGAGCTTGAATTGGGATGGCACGTCTATAATATATTAATCTGGGATGTGGACTGGGGAAGCCCAGTTTTCCCACACTGGACGTTCCTGGGCAGAGAGCAACTGGCAATGTTGACAGAAGGATTTGACTCCATGTCCCTTGCGGGATGCTCTGTCCTTGAAACAGGAGGAAGACAGAGGGGCTTGGACAGGATCCCTCTAGGTATTGATTTCTAAGGAGGAGCCACTAAGGTGGGAGTGGAGACGGCCTTCGCATCCTGTTTGTAGGCTTCCAAGGGACAGATGAGGGGCCACTGCAGGAAGCAAAAAACAAAGAATATGGAAATATTCCCTTAAATCTAATGTGTAAGGAGATATGGAATCTCAAAGATTTTTTTAAAAAAGTATCTTGTGGTTTATTCCTTCATTAATTTTGGCCAATAGTTTGCTTTGTGGCCCTATTAAAGGAAAGTAGGGTGTCAGTACCTACAAAGATTTGTGATGATTTGCAAGAGTCACTTAGTGAAACCTGGAAACAGATGATTTGACATCTTTCTAGGTGCTGATAAATCTCTGCCCCTGAGAAAGGCACTTTGGGGAGCAGGCAAGTGGATAGGACTGGATCCAGCAAAGATGGGCTCGAAGGTCCTGCAAGGCTGCCACCTGACGCTTCCATTAAGTGTTGTTAAGTTCCGGTGAACTGAAGGGAGCTTTCCCCCTAGGAGGCCTGGCACTGCTATGCCACAAGGCCCTTTGGCAAAGCCAGGGCCCACAGTGGCTCTAGGCTCCCTTGAACACCGCCCCCTTTCCCATTCTTAGCACCAGATGGCTGTCATTTAAAATTTTTTTTACACTGCTCCAAGCCAATGCAACCTTGGGTCATGAAGGAGGTATGAAAATGAGAGATCTGAAAAAGTTATGTTCCCGGACTGCAAGCCCCAGAATCCCCCCAAGCCCCATCCTAATTAATGCAAATTATAATCCAAAGAAGCAACTTTGTCAAATTCTGGTCTAAGGGCAGCTGCCTGATATGAATTGAAGCAAAGGTATCACCAGGTTACGTCCTCTTGACCCATGTGTGGAAAATTAAGAAATAGCCCACTAGGGGTGGAGGGAAGGAGGGAGGGAGGAGAAAGAGAGAGAGAGAGAGAGAGAGAGAGAGAGAGAGCACCCACTGGTAGGGCACTTTTTAGGGGTGAAGGCATCCAAAGGCCCCTTTGAGGCTGAGACCAGCCCTGTTCTAAGGATTGTATTCCAGAAGGTCAAAGAAGCAAAGGGAGAAAACTCACCACAGGTGGGCAGGTCCAGGAGGTGGCTTCCGTGGTCCCTTGTCTAGACCACTCCTCGTGTCAGCATGTCTCTGAAGAAAAACAAAGAAGAGGAGAGAATGATCTTCTTCTGTTTCTCCAACATTTGCTTCAATAATTGTCACAGCCTTACTGGGAGGAACTGGGGGGCTAAGGGAGCAGCCCCATTTCTGCCCACCCTTTTAGCCTACTGGAGATAGCAGGCCAAGGGCAAGCGGCCTGTTCCTGAATCAGTTAAAAGCAGCCCTAAAAATAGAGCATTCAAAAGCACCAAGATTATGTGGCAGCTCCGGAAACTCACTTCCCAGCAGGGTGGGGCCCCGCAGGGTTCAGCACATTTACCAGTGTGAACATTCCCCTCAAGGCCTGTTGCTGCTGCTAATTCATTCTGTACAAATCGTTCCACTGCTGCAGCCTCGGGCCAAGCCCAGCACACCTGGGGAAGCAGAAGCCTGTTTTCTGGCGACCCTGAAGACTGGTTTGGCACAGCTGCCCTGAGTGAGGCAGCGGCGCAGTAGGGGAGTGTGGGTGGGGGGGAAACGGGACGACAACAAGGGTTGATTTGGGGGAGACAAAAGACAGAGTACCCTGGAATACAGAACGACGGTGGATTGAGAGACACCATTTCAGAACTGGGTGCAAGTGAGCCCATGTTGTGAAGGGCAGCTAGCACTTTGGGGAGGTTAGGTTTTCCTACACTGATCCAAACTCAACCAGCAGCCTTCTGAGCCCAGAAACATTGTGGAATTCAAACTAAACAGACTATCCTTCAGGAAGTTTTCTTTTGCAAAAACCTGTTTCATAGAAATCACACAACCGTCTCACTTGCTCCTATTATCTTTCTATTCTGCCCCTCCCTGTGGTCTTCAGTGAGTTGGGCTACATGGCTACAGAATCAGGTGTGGAAGTTTAAATCCCCACCGTGCTACCTGGGAGAAGAGTCAACCTCCATGGTCGTGGGCAAATGGCACAGTCCCAGAAGTGCTACTAGTAGAGGGGCACTGGTAAACTATGCACTCTACACCTAAGAAAGCCCTTCCAAGAGTCACTATTTATTTTATTTAAAATATTTTATCCCAGTTTTTTTCCTGAAAAAGACCCAAGGCACTAACATCATTAAAAAGACAAGATTTGAAAGCTAGAACCAGTAAATATGTAAATATTAAAAAAAAAAGAATTTAAAAGTATTACATTTTAAAACAGTAATAAAATCCATACAAAAACACATTTAAAACAACAGTGCACAACCATCCAGTTAAAAACCCCTCTCTGATCACCAGTTATTAAGGAAAAGCCTGCCTGAAGAAAAAGGTCTTTACCTCCTTAAAAGCTTCCGGTAGCTCACCTCTGCTTGGCATGAAACTGTGAGGTGGCCCTACACATGCTCTCTTCTCTTTCACTGCGTGAAAGGATGTGGACACGGGGATGTGCTATAATGACACGGTGACTACAGACAGGCCCACACCTTGCAACATACCGCCATAGCAGATGCCAGGTGCTCCCACCCACTCCTAGGGATGCCAGGTGTGCCCCACTGCAGGCAGAGACGGGCCACAGCAGGTGAACAGATGAGAGATGAATGGGCAGGAGAAAACCACGGGTGCCCCCTCCTGTACTTCAGGGCTGGGCAACTTGTGGCCCTCCACATGTCAGACTCAAATTCTTATCAGTCCTCACCAGCTTTCTTCTTTTTCTCCCCCTCCCACCCCCAAATCTTTTTATAGCTTCCCATCCCTTACTGTTACCTGAAAATGGCATCTTGCTACACTTCTGCTATGAGGTATCTGGTGGTTGTGAAGTTCTTGCAGGCAGCCTGCATTTGAGCTAAAGGTCTTAATGTGCATCTATGCAGCAATGCTAGTCCTAGATCATGTGTTTCAGGCAACCGGGCCACAAGGCAGCTGAGAGAGAGTTCTTTTGGAGGTCTCTTTCCTTTTTCACGGAGCCTACGAAGCCCAAAACCAAACATCGTTGCTGGACCTGTCAGTACTAGATTTGCAAAACCACCAAGGTGTGTAAAGATGAAAAACTACCCCTATAGCAGCAGTAGGGGAAACCACAAGAATGCCTTCCTGTGGAACTTTCAAACATCACAGGAGACAAACTGATCTTGACTCACTGAGTAGGGGGATATCACATCAAGGAAAAGATTAGTCTAATTTTATACACAAAGGCTCTTTACTAGGCTTCTGGGACAGTTCTGAAGAGAGGAAGAGCTGCCCATAAATCATTCCACTTCTTTTCCAAAGCAACCCCCACCTTCCTCTTCTTTCAGGGTTGGAAGCCATCCTATCACAGACGGCATCTATCTATACAGTATAGGACCAGCATGCAAAAAAAAAATTACATCTGAAAAACTATGAAAAGTTCAGGACAGACAGGAAAAATATTGCACTGTACTAAAGCAGAGTCATTTCCCCTCAAAGTGTGTTTCAAAGAGGCTCAGTCCAGAAGGGAAAGGAGGTTATCACAAAAGCTGGGCCCTAAATACATTTGTACTTGTTCTTTCTAGGAAAGCTTATGCAGACTCTTCACAAACATTCCACAAATGGAAACGGCAAGTAACATTCTTCTCTGCTGCAAAGCACCCTGTCCCTTCATATGCAAGACCACTGCTGCCTGAAGTGGCAATCCTATACACACCTCCAAGAGTTCACCTCATTGGAATCTATGAGAATTGCTTCTCAGTAGACACATCTTAAGATTGTACAGGCTCTCCCTACAACACATCTCTACATGTTGTTGTTTTTCTCTGACTATGAAAAACTCAACTCCTCTAGTCAACGTCTCCCTGCCCTATTACAAAAACAAAGAAGAGTTTTGTCTGTATGGTTTAAGATACACTATGAAACAAAACCATCCTTAGATCAAATAGGTGTTTTAATGCTTACTGTACTTTTCCAAGCATCATAAACTGCTGGTCAAACAGGAAAATGATTGCACCATCTTAAAGGAGACTGTTATCTACCCCATCATAATGATGTTCCCAACGATCTACTTTGAGCCTAGAGATGTCAGGAAGCAGATTGAAGTCAGTTCTGACTAACAAGGTGGAGCATCTCCCAAGATTCCCAAAAAGTGATTTAAGAACCAGGAAATTAAGGACTGCCATTGTCTGACTGAGAGCACTGGGTCATGATATGAGCAGATATGCCTTTCCCCCCCAACTCCCCTCAGCAGTTGTGTGAGGTACAGTAATGTGGGCTGCACCTCTTCAGACTGTAGGTGGGACTTCATGGGATCCCTTTCAGTGGTGAAAATCAGCCTGGAATAGGCAGGCACTGAAGTACAGAAGGGAACTTCTACCATTTTTCTTCAGCTACATACAGATGTTAAGGTCTCGGACTGCACAAGCAGCACCCATATATCACAGAGAATGCAGAAACCAGCATGAACTGGCAAGATTGAGTGCACACGCTTTTAAAAATATTCATTTCATTTTTCTTTAAACAAAAGGCAACTTTAAAGGTGCTCAGGGAAAAAAAGAACCTTGAGCAACCTATATGTAATTTGACAAGCGTAACATGCTCTGAAGGGACATAATTCCTCCAAAACGGATACCTTTGTATAAAACAAAGCAAAAAGAAAAAGGAAAAGAAAGAAAAGCCATAGCCCTCTTGTTTTCTCAATGAAATGAAGACCTTAAACTTTGGATGATTGAATTTTAACTTTCATTTGAGCTCTAGATCAGGTTGTGTAAGGTCTAAGCACATGCTGAATCAAGATCCTATCCAAAATGCCGAAATGGACTCCAAATCAAAGGGAGTCGGGGTGGGGAAGAGACTGCACAGCCCAAATATATGTGTCAGCGTACAGCTAGAGAAGACACACATTTCATACCAGAAACTCCAAGCAGTTTCCAAAATGGCCGCTTGTGGCAAATACTCCTGTCCTATGCACAGGGTGGGTTTCCTGGAAAGAGAGAGAAGCAGAGCCTCCGGTGCTTTCCTTGGGGCAATGGGACCACAGTCGACGCCCTCTCCAGGAGGCTGCCCTTTGCCCTTTGGGGTGGCAGCCCCTGGCAAGCACTTGGGAAAGGATCGTCTCTGTCACGGCATTGACCTGGCCAATCCGAAGGCTCTCCAAACAACCATCGCAATAGTTCTGTTGTAATGTTGTTGTGTGTACGGATATCCTGACTCTTCTCCAAAGAACTGGAGGTGATTAGATGGTTTTCCTCCCCGTTTTTTCATTCTCCCCAAATCCCCACAAGGTAAGGTAAGCCAGGCTCATAGACGGTAGGCCTGCACGTTTCATGGCCGTGAGGGCATCTGAGCCTTGAGAGGCTAGCTTCCTGTTTTAAATTGAAGGTTGAAAACCAGGGTGTCCAGATAAGCCCCTTCTGAGTCCTCACAGCAAAAGTGATGTGGAGAAAGTGGTGCCTGCGTCACACCTCTCACCCCACCCCCCAAAAACAAACCAGCTTGTCAATGTTCTGGGCCACCCCTGCTCAAAGTGGCCCCCCAGGAAAACTCAGTGGGGACAAGGCATCTGGGGGGCACAGATGCCAATGAGGGCTTTTCTTAGCCCACAGTCTTGGCATGTGAGTCACCCGGCACGCTTCAAGGCTATCAAATTCCCCTCTTCTGCATAATTGTTCCATACTAGAGCCCAGCCAGGCCTCCTGTTCTTTCTTCTTTGGCCTGAGCCATGTGGCCTCTGGCATACCCGAGCAGGATAGAAGCAAAGCAAAGCAAAGCAAGGAGCTGGCCCTGCCCACACCAACTGTCTCTCATGGTCCAGTTTTCCCCATCCCCACCCCTGGGTCGCATGCGAAATAATTGTCCAATCAAAGCTGGCAGCTTCCGTGGCTGTTTTGCTTCTGCTTTCTCCCTTCCTTGAAGGTTACCGGGAGAGTCACAAGGCCGAGAGTTGAGTCATTGTGGATAAATAGGGAAATCAGGTCTGTCTGAGAAGGAGGGGGGGGTTGTGTGTGTGTGTGAGAGAGACACACACACACACACACACACAGAGAGAGAGAAATAGTGCGGCATAGAGAGAGAGAGAGAGAGAGAGAAATAGTGCAGCTCACAGTTCTGACTCCCCATCTTCT